TAGTATTAGCCAGATTTTCCACAAATGAATCATTCCTGGCATGAGATGTTTTTGACATAGTGCATCCAGGAAGGAAAGAAGTTGTTTGGTGCTAGAAAAGGTTATCTCATGTGCTGTGAAATTGAACCAAAACTGCAAGTTCCTGTGTTGCCTTTCTGACCCCCACTCTTACAAAAGGAGTTAGCTTTTCCGTGTCACAGTCTTGTGTACAGCAACTCTTGGAGTGTTTCAGAGACAGTCAGAGATATACAAAGGTCTCTCTACCATTTTGATATAGTGGTTCCTGAAATCAGCCATCACAGTATGAATTTCAGTGGGGGTTGAATAAAAGGATGGAAGATTTTGACGAGAGCAAGATGCAATTTCATTGAAGCTGGAGGTTCTAGTTACCATGTTAAACATTTTTCCTGTACAGGCTGCTTTGCTTTCCTCTCCTTTCCATCCTGTAGGCAAGTGTCATGGTTTTGTGTTACCAAGTTACCACAGCGGAAATGGAAAATACTTCCACTTAGAAAAGTCACAAGTACTGGGATTTGCTTGACAGTAAATACTTAAAGCATTAGGGGTGCCTCTTTGTACAGCAGCTAATGCGAATCTTTTAAAACCTGATATTGCATCTGAAAAGTAGATACTGTGCTATGACATAAAACCAGGGGAAAATAATCTGTGGGCTTTGAGTAAAAATACTGAGTATGTTAATGCAGTTTTATCTATTTGAATTATGTAAATACTGTGCTTACCCACTTAGTGCTTTGAAGATTCAAGTGAAAGAAACGTGAGATTTGCTCTACAGTGTGTGGGTTATTCTCTCCCCATTTAGGAAACTACAGTCGTCGTGAAGGCGCTCGGGGCTCAAGCTGGAGCGCACAGAGTACGCCGCGAGGAACCTACAATGACAGTAGAGGTGGTCAAAGCAATTTTAACAGGGGTCCACTGCCACCACTGAGACCATTAAGTTCAGCAGGTACATGGTATTCATATGGGCATCGAACTATAGAAAATTCCTTGAATTTCATTTTTGCTTTACAAATGAAACCGTGCAAGGATGCCGCAAACACCTTGAAATTCAGCAAATTTTTTAAGCATATATGAACAGTTGTCACTGAGACTGTCAAATACATGCTTTCGTACGAACTGTCCTGTAATCCCTAAAACTTGCTGAATTGAACACTCGATCGCAGAACCTTAACTTTGCATTCAGATTTTTGCAGTTCAGTTGTCTTCATAACCACACGGTAACTTTAGAACCAATCAAAACAAAAATGCTGGCCTAAAAGAAAGGTGAAAATTAAAAGGAGAAAACAAAACCCGGTTTGTGTCTCGTCTTGTTTTTGTTTCCTGTGCTTTCACAGCACCTGCTGCACCTAGGCTTTTTTTTTTTTTTTTTTTTTTCCAACTGAGTATACTTTTCTTTGCTTTAAGGCTACCGACCGAGTCCTCGCGATCGTGCTTCCAGAGGCCGCGGAGGAATTGGACCATCTTGGACAAGTGCTAATAGTAGTAGCAGTGGTGGCTCAAGAGGGAAGTTTGTTAGTGGAGGCAGTGGAAGAGGTCGTCATGTACGTTCCTTCACACGATAAAATGAGGCCTAATGGAAGAGCCCAACCACAGGGACTTCTGTGAAGATGACAAAGCTAACAGAGGCACTGAAGGACCAATTCAGAGTTGCTGGGTATCTGGAGGACACCGGGAGAATATTTTTGTCGGAAGAGAAGTTTTTGTTTGATACAAGACTTGAAATTTCAATAAAATTCAAGACTTTTTTGTGTACAGTTGTATATTTTTTTTTTGGTTCATTTTGAAAGAATGTTTTAATTTTTTCGTGGACAGTAGACGATTCAGTAAAGAACCTCGTTAAGCCTTGAAAGACTTCTAAAATATTAATTGTGCCAAAAGCAAGGTACAGATGTTTTGTGTGCGACTTATTACTGCAAGAAAATTCTATATAATTCTATAAAATTCTGTATGTAAGACAACTTTAGTTTTTCCTCTCAGGTGTAGAGCCACTAGCCCTTTTTTTTGGTCGGTCTCGGTTATTAATGATTGAGGTACACTCAAGAGAAGTTGTAGCAGGTAATAGGAGATTGAAATTACAGTTATGTTTGTATTCTTTCATGGATTAATTAATTTATATAGGTTTTTTTGTACATTTTTGGTAACATAAGACACTTGAGCAAGATCTTGCACCTCTTAAAATTCATAGAAAATCTGTCACTGACTTTGGTGAGAATAAGACCACATCCTAGAATTCCTTTTATAATTCCAGTTCTTGCGTTAGGGAGCATAAATGTTATTTTGCTGGAAAACAGATCGTGCTTTGTGGTTGAACAGCAAGATACCCATACTGCCAGAGAGCCTGCAGGTAATTGGTGCCTGCCCATCTGCTGACATATGTAGCTGAGGAAGGGGCATAGATTCATGTGGAGACTGAACAACCACACAGTGAAGCAGTAATACTGAAACTTCCCTTTGAATAGATAGCTTGAATTTTTATTTCTGTAATACACAGACGGATATATTGCAAAGAGCAAAACTTTTGCAAGCAGGAGTTGTGGAGAAATGTTACCAGTAGATTCCTCTACATTTATTTTCATGTTATACTCATGGACTGATGGAACTTGTTTACAAATTTGCGTTCCTTCTCAGTTGCGTGGGGTGAGGATTTCAAAGGCCATGTACTTTTTTAAATATGAGTTTCACTGTCCATTAACTGAGCTTGACCTTCCCTTATGCTTTGGTCTCTTGGCGTTACGAAAGTGCTATGAAGGGGTCTTCATCTAGTCACATAAGGTGCAGTTATAACACTTTAAGTAATCGTAACTTACTTTGGACAGCTAATCTGCCTAGTGTCATCAACTTGAACAACCTATGTCAAGTGTTTCTGTAATATGACCACACTTTAAATGGAATTTTTTTTGGCTTTGTACTGGTTGGCTATATCAGGCTGGCTTTTACCTGAATCACAGAAGGCCCCAGTTGAGCAGACTGACTGTGGAAGACTTTGGGGCATAACGTCCCATGGTTTGCGAGCTGACGAGCTGGCACAAAGTCAGTTGAGTTAACTTAAGAAAGTGGTGAGCTTCTATTGACTGACTGGGCGCACTTAAAGGGAACAATATTCATTCACAAAAATATGTATTTTTGTCGTTGTATAAATGAACATGAGCAAAAAAAATGATTGGAGGTTACGCAGTTTTCTGAACGGTGAAAATAACAAGATGCAATTTTACTAACGATGCAGTTGCAATGACTGAAATGGGTGCAGCTCTCAGGCATTACAGGTATTAAGGCCATTTGTTTAAGGAGCACTGCATAAATATTTTTTCAAGTCGACTCCTTCAGATCACGTGTTTAAGGTTTTTAATTTAAAAAAAAAAAAACTTTATTGTGTTTGAAACGAGCAGGGATGTGAATCATTTGTTTTCTGTCAGGGAATTTGAAATGAAAAGTGTCAGGCATGGAATAAATATGTAAATTTACAGTACTGGTTCTTAAAGTTTAAAATATATGGCATGTCACACCAATCATTTTCAAACTAGGAAGAAACAAAGGGTTGGTTAAGTTCTTTAAGATTTATGCAACCTGTAAATTTAGTTAAACTTGAAAAATAATTGTCTTTGTTTTTTGTTATTGAACTCTGTAGCCCTTCGATGCTAAGTGGTTCCTTTCTTGGATAAATTCAACTTGAAATGATGCTCTTTATTTGGTTTGACTCTTTTAAACTTGAATCCTTCCATGAGTAAATAGCATTCTAAGCATTAAATTTTGCTTTCTATACCGTGCTCAAAAATAAGCATTCAAGTTCTGTTTCCTAAGTGGAGCTAATGCCAGTGTCAAAACACTCTTCAGTAGTTGTACATCCAGCCAATGAACGAAACACCTGGGATGAGCAAGAATGTGGAACAGATCCACAGTGTGATACAATTCTTCCTCCTCAGTCCTGGGGCTGAGTACACAAACCATGTGCCAGGAGTTGGGTAAGGAAAGGAGATGGTCATTAATGGCTGTTCTGCCAGCTGAAATTTGGAAGAATTGCCTTGGTTTAGTCAATGGATTAGTGAGGCACAGTCAAATGCATATATTACAGGATAAGGGTGAGACAAGTTTCCAAAATCTTCAGCAGCTACACCACCTTTATTATTATTATTTCTGTTCTGCCTGAAACATGGCTGTGCCTAGGCAGATAAATGTGTTGTCAGTGAGATATGAGCAACTACCATCTGCAGTTGTCATATGCAAGTTTGCAGCCTTTTCCCTGCTGGGTAACTCCCATCAGGTAACAGAACATGCTTGGGATAATGCAGAGTACTGTATGAAACTAAATCATGCACGGGAGTGCCCTCTATCCTGACTGCTATTGTTTAAGCAAATCACAGAATGAATCATAGAATGACCTGGGTTGAAAAGGCCCACAATGATCATCCAGTTTCAACCCCGCTGCTGTGTGCAAGATCACCAACCACCAGACCAATATATCTAGCACACATACATACATACATACCTAGCTTACAACTTCTGAGTTTTCATGTTTCCTGACCATAGCCCAAATGGGTTCTTGCAGCAAGTACAAAAAACTTGCATTAAGGATGAGATTCTTTACTTGATGGATGGTGAATTCATTTTTCCCTGTATGCCAGTTTGTTACCGTGCTGTCCTTTGCAGAACTGGACTGTCATATTCTTTAGTCCAGTTGCTAGCTCTTCTATCTTTCATAAGGGCTGCACTATTCAGAAACCGAGTTAAGGCTGGAGAAAAATCCATGGGAAGGGTTTTACTGTTTCAGCAAATGCTTACTTTGTTTATTGCTGTGTATTCCCTGTTTGGCAAAATGCTTGCTACTGGTAGATATAGTCTTAACAGTTCTAACACACTGACTGTCTCATAGTTTCTTTGTGACTGCCTGTGCTGCGCATACAGCATGGCTGCAGTACCCTATTTCATCTGATCAAGCAGATACTCCAACTTCTGTAACAGAAAGAAATGAACAAAAGTTGCATTACTTATGGTATAACCCTTTATTAGTTCAACTTTTATACAAACTGTACTTCAAAGTGATACAAATACTGTTTTTTTACAGACTAGAGATTAAGGTCTGTTAAGCACTGTTTTATCCTTGTATTTATAAAGGTAGAAAATGTAAGTAGGCTGGCAGTGAACCATAATGCTGGAAGACAATTCAGTGTTTATTTGTTAATATATAAAGTTGCATAGAGTTGTAGGTCTTTATAAAGGCATCCATCTGTGGTTAAATCTCCCTGACCTACCGTACTTCGTCCTGTGAGCAGTACACAAGAAAGGAAAGGCCAGCACTGCCCCTTTTAAATACTACCCAGCACTTTTAAGTAAGACAGCTGTAGAAAAGCACCATACCAGAAACATCCAAGAGGGCAATGTATGGAAAATGTAATTTGTGAGACTGTTGATTCTATATACTGTAGGAACTGAGGTCTATTAACACACTGAACTTCTAAAAAGCACCCAATGCTTAAAAGCATTTCAGATTTAAACACCTAATCCAGTCAAAAGTCTCCACTGTATTTGGTATTTTGTTTGCATGTGTAGTTGCATTCCCTCCTGCCCTGACAAGAGGCTCCTGCATTTGCAGATGTGGCCCTGGGCACCCTGCTCTGGGCGTCCCATGCTTGAACAGGGACGTAGATCAGATGGCCTCCAGAGGTCCGCACTAACCTTCGGCCATTCTGTGATTCTGTAGTGTTAAGCAAACCTCCTTTATAAAGGACTGTTAATCCAGTACGAGCATTGTACTAAAACCTGCCATCTTTATGAGTAAGGCCAGCAGAATTCTGCTTTGCAACTCCTGTATCTGACTCAGATGCATGGTTCTCCATTGTAAGTCAGCTAAACTTAACAGAAGCACTCCCAACTATTTCCAAGTAAAGTAAAGTGATCCTGGGAGCAGTGGTTCAACTCTGAGACCTCTGACGAGCTTTGCTTTAAGAGGAATGCAGGAGAATGAGAACATAGCTTTAACCATGAAGGAAACAGAGGAAGCAATATTTAGGCTTGAATTTGACAGCTCAAGTGGGAGAAGTCAGTTTAAGGGAACTAATTTCAAAATACTTTTAACTGGTATCTTGCAAGTCTTCAGAATAAATAGGTAAATGTTGACCTTTCTTTCAAAGCCAAACATTTCCATTCACTTTAAAGGTGTTAATCTCTTTAATACATCCCTACTCTTATTTACACCCAATTTAATGTAGGATAAGGATTTGCTCCTTGTAATCTCACTTACTAACTTGCTCTCTCTGAATTTTGTCTGAGATTCTTGCAGGTTTGGTACTATTGCATTTATCTGGAAACACAGACTTAATCTCCCTTTAATTGTAAGGTACAGTAATTGTGATGCCCCAAGGCAGCATTCCTTGCTGGTAAGCCAGCTGCTGCAGAGGCTGCTGTTGCCACATAACTGCTCTCAGGCTGAGCTTCTGCAGACACAAAGAAGTCTGCAGTTCCTTCTTTCCAGCCTCCCTTCCCCCCAGCCTTTGCTCTCTGTTGTAGCTGCTAAGTACAGCTGCTTGCATGGCTACTGGTCCACTTGAGTAACTGTTCAGTGTGCTCTCAGCACAGTTCCAACTGTGAGGAAATGGAATTTGTTGTGTTGTGATGTACTATGAGAATATTTAACACCCTTGTTCCCAGTCACAAGAAGCACTTCTAAGTGAGCACCTTCACTTACAATATCTACTACAATATTTGGACCCTTACTTAACCCTTTTATGAGAATTGAAAGAAAGAATAAAAAATTCCTTGCTTCTGCTAGCTGCTACTATCAGCTGCGTAACACATGAGACTGGAAAAGGTAAAACTGGATATTATTATAACAGGCTGTTTCATTTCAGTCTAGTTAATTTTAAGGAACAGGTAAAACGATGACCATGTTCAACATAGACTGCCCTGCGTGTGGTTCCCTAGTAGAGGAACATCTGAAGTGCAGACAAGCTGCCATCATTGAGGAGTAGGATCAGCCTTAAATATCTGGAAGGAACCAATGCTATCAGCTGGTGTAACCCCATTTAAAATACCTACATTGGGTAGGAGGGTCTCAAGGAGACCCAAGCTGACAGGTCATTCCAGCAGCAAGTGGGCTCAAAGCACTGCCCCACTTTAACACTGGAAGTTCAGACCCCCCAGAGCTGGCAAATAGAAGCTCCATAGATTGTGCAGCAGAAAGTCAGCTTTACCTCCTAAGATGTGTTTTCTCACACAACTCCACGTATGTAACTTAGGGGACAGCAGTAGCCCAACTGCTAAGCAAATATTAAATAAATCCTTTCTCCTATACTAGAAGGAATTCAGTGATAAAATCAGTGGGTGAAATTCTTAGAACAAACGCAGAGATCTCATTAAGAGAAAAGCACAGAGCTAGTTCCTTGGTTTTTTTTTTTCCCCTGTTCAGAATGGAAGATATTATCACTGCACTCCAAACCAGGAAGGATGATCCAGCTCATCTGAGTTCCGCAGGATTTTGAAGGAATTTTCTTCTTTCACATTAAGCAAGATAGTTGAAGCCACATCACACAACCACACAACTATAGAACACAGAAAATCACATCCTGCAAATATACTGATCCTAACAGCATGAAATCTGATGTTGCTTAGAAGCTTCAAAATTAGTGTGAATGTTAGTGTGAACAGGCACCAAAGAAAAAAAACCAGACACTAAAAGCTTCCTTACCTAGCACACGAGGTAATAAAAGCATTCTTAGTTTCTATTTACAGCTCTGATATGCACACTGATATGGGAATCGACCACTGAATGTTTGGTGTGAATTTTCCCAAATTATAACTACTGCTTCACTTTGTTCAGTATGGCTGCTTGAGAGAGGTGCTATGTCATGAGCTGGAAGAGACTGCTAACAATGACTTAGATACTGTCAATGACTGTAGTTCAACCTAGGATATAAAAAGAGTAAACTGAGAACCAAATAAATATTTGGTCATCGCTCATCCTGTGAATAGCTGCAAAACAAAAGAAAACCTTTACAGGAGAATTACTTGTTGGTTTTAAATGCACAAAAATGGAAGATGTGTGCAGTTGTTTCAGCTGTATTGAAGGAAAAGCAAGTTAGAAGGATTTATTACTGCCCAAAATTAAGAAAACTGACCACAAGTCCTTCTCATGTAATGTATGTGCTAAAGAAGGTTGCAATCTCTCTCTTTGGTTATGTTTTTAGCCATAAAAGTGTTGATCTGAGGGACAGGAAATTAGACACAGAAATGTATGTTTTCTAGAGAGGGAGGTTATGAAGACTGTTGTGCCTGCACCCAGCTTTCCTGAAAAATGATTTAAAGTACTCAGTAAGCAGGAGGCCAGGTTCTTTCCTAATTATTCCACTGAAGAGCTGCACCAGGAGACAGAATATGGCTTAGTTATAGCAGTGAAATCAACACAAACAGGCTTTGTGAGAAGTATAGGGATGAGTCTTCAAACTGTACAGATTTCTTTCCCATGAATATCACAGCCTTTACAGGGATATGCCCCCTTCATTCAGCATTTGTATCCCTGTTGTAAAGTCCTAGCTCTTACACAGTTGCAGACTTGAGCCCTAATAAAAACATTCCAAGTAGCCACTGTGCAAATAGCCCTCTGTTGTGACATTAATGTACAAGTAGCCTTAAATCTACCAAAAGAAAATCAGAAACTCAAAGTATGTATGTATCTCTTTAAGAGTACTTAAGAGACTGAGCTTAGGCTTAAGGACCTGGTAGAAATCTGATACTTTTACATAAAAAATCTCCAAATAGTTACATAAAATGCAAGGCCTTTCCCCCACAAACCCCAAGTTACACAAAGGTCTATACAGAAGTTTTTAGGGGATGCTATTACCTTGGGCTTTGGTACATATCTCCTAAGTGTGTATCTCTCAAGATTGGGAAGTCAGAGAAGCTCTGAGGTTAAGTCATCCTTACTTGGAGCTCTTACACAGTGGTAGAATTAGAATTTAAAGTGCTTTCTTTTCACCTTTGAAATATACCTCATATACCTCCCACAGACTATACAAAAAACAACAAAACAATCCATTAACTTGTATTACTGACTCTCCCCAAATTAAGTAGATCTCAAATGTCATTACCAATAATCCCATTTTCTTTCTTTTTCAAGTCCATGCATAAACTAGACTTGGACAATAATGGATCGGAAAGGAAAAAAATCTTTAAGTATTTGACTAGTTCTGATCTTCAGGCTTGAAATAACTCTATAAATGACACACTGAAGAGATACAAATCAATGAATTTCCCCTTTCTTTATGATAACATATAGCTGAAAGTCCTTACACTGGGTTTAATGCTCCATATCCCATAAGAAAAAACTCTCCCGTTTGTTTCTATGGCCCAAGAGGAAAGAAAGTTTTTACCAAGAAAGTGAGCGTACCAGAAATAATTTACCAATCACTCACGGAGAGCAGAAAAGTTTGCCAGATGGTCACAGAAACTAGAAGAAAATGCTTTTTGAGCTTACTTGTGTTTAGATAACTGTAACTTCCCTAGGTTTTCGTTTTGCACTCTCCAGTCGTGTCAGGGGGCGGAAGTTTGTTGTCTTCCTGCTTCCCTCTGCAGTGCTTAACCGACAGTCCTTCTGCAGCCCCCTCAGCAGCTCCATTAGTTCCCGTTTCTCCAGCTCTGCTTGCTCCAGTTCTTGCCGATGCTGTCGCTCTGCGGCCATGAGGGAACGCACATCCGACATCACTCGCGACATCTGACTCTGAAACGCAGGTATCGGTTTACTGCAATGCATGAACTTCTCTGACGATGGTGTAACAATGCTGAGCAGCTCATGCACATAAGGGAATGGATTATAAACTGACAACACTGAAATCGGCGACTGCTTTTGTGAGCAGAAGAAATGTAAACAATTTAAGACACAACCCAGCACTGACCTTCATCTAAGAAGGGTCTTTTCTCAAAAATTCCCAAAGTTTTCCTCCAAGTGCAAAAATATGAAATATTTTAAACTGTGTGTGGATTTACCTGGTTGCTGCTTAAACTTGCTATGTCAAGACCCCAACCACAGTAACATTTTGGTTACGTTCAGATACATTCTTACTTCATTCTATTTTTAAATTCTTGAAAATGAAAACCTCTACAGCATTTCCATTCTTTTGGGCTTTAATAATCATGACTCCATGATATAATATAAGATTGGATGTATCAAAAGACAACACAGCCCTCCTGGTTATTTTATTTGATTTACACTGGAGCTTTCCAACCTTTTGATTAGAAGTACAGCATAAACACCATTGTCTGTAGTAGGGCTCTGTGTCAGCACTGGATTAAGACACTTTGAAAAGCACTAAAAAAGGGGCCAGCTATTTAATCACATTTGATTTGTGACGTATGCCCTAGTTTCAGACTCTAGAAATTATCTGCTGACAGGTTATGTGTGCATCAAACAATGCAGTGCTTGTACAGCGATATTCAGGTTAGCTCCAAATTAATTTGAAGCAGATAAACTGCATAAAACCAACATTGAGTCTGCTTCCTAACAGAGCTGATTAGCCCAGGCAAAGGGCCGTGCTGGCATATTTTGGCGTCTATATTTCATAAAACTTGCCTCTATCTGAGGCCCTGTACGTACAAAAGAGAAGACTTTCTGGGAAGAGCTAATTGCTACACTGCTATAAGGGGTTGGGGAACCAAAAGATCATACTCACCTTGAGCTCCTCAATTTCGTTTTGCAGAACACTTTCTTTTTGGACCATATGCCTTCTTTGGGAATCTAATCTCGACTCCATCTCATGTTTTGCTTCCTCCACTCTGCAGATCATTTCTGACCTAAAAACGCATTTCTCCTTTTTAAGCCTTGTTAACATGGGTGAAACAAAAATATTTCAAATTCCACAAAAACTTTTTGCAGGCAGCCAGCCTGATCTGTACAGGACATCTCTCTGGAGACGTGATACCATAAATTATAGGAATTATAAATTATGAAATTATTAAATTATGAATTATACCATCCATAAATTGCCTTCAGTGACACATTCTTGGTGCTTATCATACAGTGTTATAGGGGACAAATGTATCACATTTGTGAAGTAATTCTATGAGTTAGAGATCAGATATTTATGACTTTAAATAATTTACTGCCTGTAGTATATACTTATTTCTGAGCTTATGTAGTCAAGATAAAAAAAGAAATGCAAATACTACTGTATTGCTAAACATGTCACCTTGTCATTTTAAAGAAGACAATAAATGACAGCAGAATCTGTCAACTGCCACACACATCAACTGCCAAAAATTCACTGTTACTACATTAACCTTTTGAGTTCAGTAACCAGGTACCTCAATTCCTCACGTCTCAATGACTTTAAAATGGATCTGAGCCAGACTGCACAGCAACGTTCAGGAGCACAAGATTTCCAGAGTCAAAAGATTAAAAATAGGAAGGAAACACAAAGGAAAAAAAAAACATCCAACAAGCAAAGAAACAAAGATATTCCAGTTGGAATATCATGGAAAGGAAAAGCTACAGAAACATATAAGAGGAAATAAGAGAATGCTGCTAAGAAGATTCATATTGACCAACTGTTATGCCATGGTTTTAATTGAAATAAGATTCTATGAAGTTAAATAATAGAATGGACCAAATTAGAAAGGACCTCAAGGATCATGAATCTCCAACCCCCTGCTACAGGCAGGGCCACTAACCTTCACATTTAATGCTAGATCAGGCTGCCCAGGGCCCCATCCAACCTGGCCTTGAACACCTCCAGGGATGTGGCATCCACAACCTCTCTGGACAGCCTGTTCCAGCACCTCACCACTGTCATAGAAAAGAGCTTCTCCCTGACATCCAACCTAAAGCTTCCCTTCTTCAACTTAAGACCATTTCCCTTTGTCCTGCTATTACCTGCCACTGCAAAGAGTTGGCTCCCCTCCCATTTACATAAATCTACTGGTCTGTACCTAACAAAATAATCAAAACATTTTTATCTTCAGGATGATTTGCAGAAATTGAAGAGAAATAATTAAACAGTGTGGATTTGGATCTATATCACACCAACAGAAAAAGGAAATTGCCAACTTCTGGCCAGTTCTTGGCAGGTATTTTGCCAGTTTATACAGCCAGCTCACTTTTGTTCAGCTGTAACCAATGGTATTTCAGGATTTGTAATAACTTGGACAAATAAGTAACAGAAAAAAAACAATCAAAACAGTAAGAATTTAAGCCTGCACAGACAAATAATACCCTGTGCCTCTAGTATTAATCAATTAAAGGACTATTTAACACATACCAGAACCCAGTGCTAGTAATGTGAAGTGCTTTATGCAGTGATTTTAGGCCCAGACAAACACAAACACCAAAGAAACAGAAGATATGTACCGAAGTAGTTCTAGCTCAGTTCTCAGCTCCGCTACACAATTATGCTGTGTGTCTTCTGCACTGAGGATGGTGTACCCACAACCATTGGGGCACTCTCGGCTCCGATATTCACACACCGCCAAGTGGCCATCAAGGTTACGTCGCTCAATCTGAACTGTGCAGCCTGAACATGGAACAAGAAGATAAGCCAACCACTTACAACTAACAGAAGCATTTTCATTAGTTCCAACATAACCATTTAAGTGAGTAATGAAGTTGTAATATCATGAGATAAGCAACTGTCAATCTGCTGAAATGTGGGAAAAAGCATATTCTTTAGAGCATAAAGTACAATAGTTATAACACAGATAATATAGACTCTTATTAAAACATTTACTTTTAATTAAGGAGTATTCTTTTGTAAAGATTTCTGCCATTGGTCTGTCATTAAAGCGACTTCAGTAATGACAACTCTGATAGCAGGACAAGACTAGCAGCTTGTAATGAATGGGATGGATGAAGAATGTAAATGTATAAATAAATAAGGTGTCACATTTAGAAAAAAAGAGTCCAAGGACAGGTTGTACAACAGTGGTGAGACTGTTTTCCTGATCACTGGTTAGTCTTATGTCTATCCAATAGACCATGAGAGGTTTACATGTGTTCACACATTGGTACCACACAACAGAGACAAGATGCAGCAGCTCATTAAACATTATTGTTTCTGTAGAAAGTGAAAAGTGCATTTGCAACAGTCACTGCTGAGACTTCAGATAGGCTTCTAACTTCTCCTGGAGCAACTCTAGCACCTCAAAATCCTCCCAATAAATTACAGCGGCAGACTCAACTATGCTCTTAACCTCTTTAATCAGAAATTTAAGTTTTTCTAGAAACACATCACACTTTGAATCAAATCAGCTGGGAAATGTTAACAGTACATTTATTTTTAAAAGTATGTTCCTTCCTCAGGAAGCACAGGTTTGCTTCAGAGACCGTAACACAAACATGTCAACTCCACTAAAGATTTAGTTAAAAATCCCATTCCCAGGATACTTCTCTGTTAAAGTCAAGAGATGGTGCATGGCTGCAGATGCAGCAGGAAAACCAGCTGTTCAAATCAGTGTGACAGAAGTCAAACGTCACATTTCAATGAACTGCTGCCACTGAAAGGCAATCTGACAAACTGACAGAAAGCTACACAAACGTGCTGCTCAATCTTCAGAACTTTGAGATTCACTGCTCTCCTTCATTTGGTTAGTTCTTGGATAAGAATTTGTTGCTAATGGCCATGATTGCCATAAATGGGTAATGAGTTCTCTTCAGAAAAGTCTGCTGCAAAAAGTAGAGCTCAATAAACACTAGGATTTCAGTTTAAAAATGAATGGCCATCACTGCCATTCTGTTGACCGGAAGATGGAAAACACATCCGCTGAACAGAACAGATGAACTTCTTTGACTGTTACTCACCAGCATTGGAGCAGGGTATCTGACTGTATTCACACTCCCTCTCATGCCGGTCTATAGACTCGAGGGAGCAAACCATTTCACAGCCACACTCCCTGTTTTTGCAATGGAGTTGAAGACGATTTAGATCATTTTTCATATACCTATGCATACAAAAAAAGAATTATTCTTAAGACAGAAAATTATTGAAAAAATATTAATTTTCCGCTGTGTGAAGATAAATCAAGATTCAATTGTAATCAGGAAAACATACGAAGAATCAGTTTCCATATATATATATATATTTTAGGCATTCAAGTGACAATTTTGGAAATGAACAAGCTAACAAAAGAAACAATATTAAACGAGAAATTCAGTTGCCAAAATTAACTGTGCAAACAAATTAGTTATTTTTGACTATTTTCAACTCTTTTCACTAGCTTAGCTGTATTCCCAAATACTTTGGCTACTCCTTCATTGCCACTGCCTATGGTATACTTCAGCTTTCCCTACAGCTAACCTCTCAATACTCTCAGCACTAAAGGAGTTAAACCCAATGCCTGTGGCTGCAGATTTTAAACATAACCTTACTTACTCTGCGTAAGACAGACAATTTAGGAGTTACACACCAAGCAGTGTCAAGGGATAAAACTGTGACTACTGGCAATAAACAATTATAAGAGTAAAAAGAAAAATGAAAGATATACAATGCTTAGTGACTGTTAATCCTGAGAACTGTTTACTGTGACTGTTTACGAGGGTGGATAGTGATAGAACAAGGGGGAATAGTTTTGAACTGAAACAGAGGAGGTTTAGGTTAGATATTAGGAGGAAGTTTTTCCACACAGAGGGTGGTGACACACTGGAACAGGTTGCCCAAGGAGGTTGTGGATGCCCCATCCCTGGAGGCATTCAAGGCCAGGCTGGATGTGGCTCTGGGCAGCCTGGTCTGGTGGTTGGTAACTCTGCACATAGCAGGGGGTTGAAACTGGATGATCACTGTGGTCCTTTTCAACCCAGGCCGTTCTATGATTCTATGAAGAACCTGGGAGACATAATGGAAATTGAAAATATTTTAGGGTACTGTTTAGCCTGCTTTCTCTAAAACTGTTTGGGAAAATTTTGCTGCTGTTCAGAGAGATGTTCAGAATAATATCCAGACAGGTGTCTAGAACTTGCACTCAAGATATGCAAAGGTGGAGAACAAAAATCAGTGTTCTCTTTGTTTAGAAATCTCAGTATCTCAAAAGGTGGTTATAACAAATAGAAAATGCTAATGGCTTCAAGGAAGTGATCACTTTCTACCACAGATATGTTGGGTCAAGACAACTTTGAGTCACAGTAGGTGAAAAGAGATGAATCTATGCAAGAAAAATTGAAAAATCCTAAATTCATACAATTCCAACATACAATGAGACTACTGCATACCTGTACAGAGGTCTTAGCACAGAGACATCAATCACTTGTCTGTCTTCGGGGCAGTTACTGTGATGAACAAGCCAGCCATGTATACAAGCAGTACAGAAAGCATGTTCACAAGGAGCCTGTAGTGGATCTTCCAACACATCACGGCAGATGGAGCACAGGAGCCCTTCATTAACGTAGCCAACAAAACGTTCAATATCGTAACCCATGCTTTCCAAGCACTTCCAACCTGTTAACAAAGAGAATAAAGCAGGCTGTTCAGAATCTACTACGCAACAGCCTGGATGCAATTCTAGAAATACAGAGATCTTAAAGCAAATACAGAGCTGGTGAGAATATGCTACAGACTTCAAGATTTAATTGAGAACTGGAGGACTGTAGTGCTGGATATCAGCATCCTTATTTTATACCAAGGATGTCTGAATCCTGAAAGCAAAGACTTCAGTGGATGCATCCCAAACTCTATTATAAAACACACTTCTAGGAGCCACCACGTAACACAAAGCTCCTGTTTACTCAAATTCTATCTGAAGCAGAAATATTAAAGAAGTTCAAAAGTGTTTGCATTCCATCTATACAATATAGGCCTTCTATATGATGCCTAACAAACTTACAGACAGTGACCCTACAAGCCACAGCCGTGCTACTATCAGCCAGCACACTGGGCATTTTGAACTGCACATGACTTAACGCGTTGCTTTCTTACTGAAGAAGAAAGGAAGATGAAGGTTCTCTAATAGTTGTAGACTCTCATTACAAGGAGAACAGCACAAAATCTCCGTATGTCTAGAGGAATGTTTAATATTCAGGAAGAAAAAGCCAAGACTTCAGCTAGCCCTGAAATCATGGAAAGCTATTATTATTCTCTCCTACTGGATTTATTTTATGAAATAGGGTTCCTTTTAAAACGACTTAAAAGGTTTGTGAAGAAGAACTAAGAAGCAATCTATCTTCACCAAAATCCTTCCAAGAGAAGCCTATTAGAATTTGCTAAAACTCTACAGAACTCACTTAAGAGAAAGTGTTTGATTTTGCCTTCCTCCTTAACATACAAAATTACTTTTGTAAACTCAGAACAGTTTTTCATTAGCTATCAGGTTTTTTAAATAAAACAATAAATGAGAATATCCTACCTTTTTAGATTTTGCTACATATATACCCAGTTTGCCCAATTACTGCAGAATCAGTTTTCTCATCAGCAAGATATACAATACTTCCTTCAGTTTCTCTTCACTGCTTTATTATGCCTATGAGAAAAATTGGAAAGAAAAAGGCTCAGTTGTGCTTCCTAAGTTAATGAGTCTTATGTTTAATCAGCCAGATGTTGAATGGAATGCTGCCCTAACAGCTTCCAAAGCCTACAATTCAACACAAGAGATCTGATTAGACCAGGAAAAAAAAATCAACAAAAAACAGCACACACACAAAAATCAGTCTTTCAGTTATTACTGATGCTGACACATATTGCAAACACAAACACCCAGCCAGCATTTCATTTCAAACCCTTACAGACTCATTCGTAGGATTGAAGTTAACAGAATTCAGTTATATTGAAATACACAGTTGAAATCTGGTAAAATAATATTCTCTACAGTTTTGAAACTTCATTTAACCCAGCTCCATCCAGGCAGGACATACAGCTCGTTTTCAAAACAGAAGCATCACAGTCAAGTTCACAGAACTGATTAAAAACATTGTTCCAATACACAATATAACTAAGGTTGCTCACTTAAAAAATTACAAATGAAGTCATCACTTAAATCCCAAGGGTCTACATCTAGTTATTGTAATAGAAGATTCAAAGAGAATGTGTTAGCTAGGCAGTTCTGATTTATTCATCTACACTGCTCTCAACTGGAATTAGACCTACTGAAGAACACCACAGATCTCTAAGGACTAGAGTCGTATTTTGCTCTGAAGGAAAAAAAAATCTCCATGACCATAATAATAAAGGCAGTGTTTCTGAGCAGTATCAGCTCAAATTAACTCATCTAAGTTGCTAGAAAGCAAAATAAAATATGTGTCTGACCAGCGAACGTGGGACCGGACCTTTCTGCGAGCACTGATCAAGCGTAAGGATGAGAGAAGTCTTTCCAAGGCACTGACCTTATTGTGGGGAAAGAAGTGTAGATGTCATCTGTGCAATTTTAATAGATTTTGTGGTGTGTGTGTGTGCGTGTGGGTGTTTATTTTATGAAAGAACTGTTGTAACTTAGTGTTAGGGTAGTTAGGTTATGGTTGGACTTGATCTTTGAGGTCTTTTCCAACCTGAGCAATTCTAGTATTCTATTCTCTGATTAAAAAAACCCACAAAAACAAAACAGCTTTGCAATTCCTTTTAATTAACACATCATAAATCTGGAATTTGGAACATCTTTCATATCTGAGCAGCAAAACATACTATCAGTGAATATGAGCTACTTGTGTTAACAGGGTGCTTGCTAAAATTAAAGCTAATAAAACCTGCAGTGAGCATAGTACAAGTAAGCATGTATATTACCAAACATGAAACACATCACCTGCTACAGTTTTCACACTGTGTTTTCTTTCTACTGGCACGCTTACAGCACAGCCACAGCAGCAAACAGTGCAATCCACAGACCCTTGACAAGATCCCAAGCAGATTTTCAGAGTGCACTCAGCTCTGTGCTTCTCTGGCTATGTTGCTATCCACGATACATACAAAGGAAACCTGTAGGCATCATTGATATGCCAATCCTTTGGTCACAGCATGGATGTTTTATGTTTTAGAAAAGTGTGCTCAAGAAAATACTGTATTAGGAAGATGAGAAACAGTTCTCTTCATACTGTTGTTTCCCTGTGTGCTTTTAAAGCTCTTCTGCAAAAAACAGGAAATTCAGGGCTGAGCCAGTTCAGGGTAAACAAAACAAGCACTATGTTTGCACAAAGCTGTCACTGTGAGGACAGAAGGGAACAGGGGGAAGTTAGGAACAGGAGAACAATGCTAATAGTAACAGAATGTGAAGCCAAGTTCTAGCTCCCAATACTGAAGAAAGCATTGAAACATACAGTATGCTTACACCAGAGGACTGTTAAATGGAACATATATGTTCTGTGATTTGAATTGTGAGGCTCACATTTTGATTTAGCTTGTTGATGTCAGGAGATTCAGCTTTTCAAAAACTTTCACAGAGGTACAAGATATGTTCTGGGAACTCCATGTAATTCTGTAACTCTACAGATTCTTTTCTACTGAAATTATGGATGCTGTAAGCTACAGCTTGCTCACACTGCTGATCCCCAAACATTCAATCTTCAAGACACTAGGAAGAAAATCAGGCAGATGTACATGGCATACACTACAGCAGTACAGATGGTTTTAGTCAGTACTTCTGCCGCAACAAACCACCACCTTCAATTTCTGTTCTCTCTAAAGCAATTTCTCTTTTCTCTTTGACCTCAAAACCTCTTCTTCCACTACTATTACAATTCACAGATTTCACACTCCTTTTGGTTTGTACCTAGAAACTACATTTGGCATCACCACCTTCTTACACTCCAATAACATTTCCAGACCTTGCCTTGTCTGCTTCCTCTGGTCCTGAATTTTTCCCATCACCTGACAATTACCAGCAGCGTTGTCTCCAAGGAAACCTGGAATCTGTAGGTGCCAAATCTGGAAGGCAGAAAAACAACAACTGTTACATGGTATTTTCTTTTCATTGTTTCAAATGTATTTTTTCTCTTCATAGTTTCTGACATGCAACAATCTCTCCCAGTGCTGGGGTTTAACCCCAGTGAGCTGCTAAGCACCATGCAGCTTCTTGCCTACTTCCCCCACAGCAAAATGATGGGACAGGTAAAAGTGAGAATATGTGGAGATTTAGATAAAGGCAAATTAATAAGGAAAAAATAAAACGAGGAAAAAAACCCTAAAAACAGAACACTAAGAGAAAAAAAAACAAGGAATACAAGCAATATAAGCACAATTGCTCAGCACCAGCATACTGATAGCTCGTCAGTCCCTGAGCAACAGCAGCCCTGGCAAACACTCCCCTTGCTTCTCCCTGCTAAGCATAACCCAATGGGCATGGAATACCCCTTTGGACAGTTTGGGTCAGTTGGGGACAGTTTGGCTGTGCCCTCTTCCAGCTCCTGGTGCACCCCCCAGCTTCTCACTGGTGAGGCAGCATGAAACTGAATCATAGAATTGTTTAAATTGGAAGGGACCCTTGAAGGCCATTCAGTCAAAGTCAGAATGAACAGGAACACTGACAGCTACAGCAGGTACTCTGAGCCTGGTCCAGCCTGACCTTGAATGTCTCTAAGGACAGGACATCCATCACATCTCTGGGCAACCTGTTTCAGTGCTTCATTACTCTTATTGTACAAAAAACTTTTTTCCTATATCCAACCTAAATCTTCCCTCTTTTAGTTTGAAACCATTTCCCCCTGTCCTACCACAACAGACCTTGCTAAAGAGTCTATACCCTTCTTTTTTACAGCCCCCCTTTAGATACTGAAAGGCCACTACCAGCTCTCCTCAAAGCCTTCTCTGCTGCAAGCTGAAACAAAAAAGACCCTGATGCAGTGTAAGCGCTGCTCAGCAACAACTAAACCACCTATGTATTAACAACACTGTCTTCACCACACATATTAACCACAGTACCCTACCAGCTGCTATTAAGAACATTAACTCCATCCCAGCCAAAAGCAGCACAGATATGAATTCATTCCTTCAGGAGTTGCTGTCCCACACTGTTCATTAGGTAGATGAAGCTTGAAGCCAGCTTCAAGCTATGGTCTGCTCTGCCTTCAGACTGTGGGTACGGCTGCAAGGAAAATACAGACGGGATACAGCTCCCAATAACATAATGATAGAATAACTAGAACTAATCAAAGCTACTCCATCACAAAATTAGGACAGCGATGCCATTAGTGAAATGCTTTTTTTCTTTTACAGTAGTTTCTGATTTTATTAAACATTCTTTCTTTCCCTGTGGCAAAATAAAAGCAGTTAGAAGGGTTGTGTGGTATCATGACAGAACTACAGATGTGCACCACTGGTATAACACTTCCAGAACGAGTGGAAGTACAAATAACTTACACAGGGCCCAGTAACGAGGTGACAATTAACATGCTGCTGCTTCACCATCTGTTTTCACAAATACGCACTGTGCTTTTAAATCCTGGCATACAAAAACCATGTTTCAGGATGCCTTGTGCAACTGTAAGGCAGTTTATGGTAGCATTAATGGCCAAAGAAGCAGACGCATCTGTTCAGCAGTGTCTGCACAAGCTCTCACTCCTGCCACTGCTGTTGGAAGTATCCAAATAATTTATCAGGACGGTATCTCTGATAAAGCAGATTTTATTCGCAATTGCAATGGCGGGCCTGCTGCAAGCAGGAGAGCACCCAGAAAACAGTGTTACATCTTTTATTTCCTATTGCCTGACGCTTATCTCTTTCTCCCCTAGTTCCTCATTGGCTGAGTACTTTACATTCACAATCTTCACTACGCTTCACTCAACATGTAAACACCGGACAAACTCAAATCTTTGCTGCCTAAGCGTAAATCTGTAATTAATTAATTAACTTATTCCACACTTGATCATTTTGTGGATATCTGTTTGTCCTTCCTTCCACAAAGATAAGCTTGGGAGAAGGACAGAGGGGAGTATCTTGGTGCTTGCCTGTCACATCCCAGTCTTTTCACAGAGACAGTCCGGCCTTGTGTAGAGGCCCTAGCTTCTTCGATGCTTGCTAAATCTGCTCTTCTTTTGCTGGGAGTTTCGTATCTTAACAGAACAATCCTACAATATGCTTTCTAATCCCTAACACTATACTCACATTGTTTGGAACATTTAACATCTATTACAGTTCTGCAAGAAAGAATTAATCACACAATTCAGTGATAATATTTCTAAAACATGCTGCTAACACATACAGTATTTTTACTTCTTAGATCAACTATTTCTAAGGGTAAGTTACAGAACACAAATACATTATGTTCTACTTCTTCAAACCAATTGCCCCTTTTAATATCAAATGCAGAAACAACACTCCATTCCCACGCTATCACACTCGGTAAGCAGCCTGTTTGAAGAGCAAACTGCCAAACCTCGTATTTGACAGCACTCTGCAGCAGCCTCAGCCAAGCCCTGTCCTTTTATTTCCCTCCTGTTCCCGCCTTGAATCGACGGAGCTTTTAACATTTAACGCAGCCCTTTCCTCACCCGGTGCAGACGAGTGATCACACGGAACAGCTCGGACTGGAGTGTCACGTAAACGGTTCAGGAAAAGCTCCGGTGACCACGGAAGTGGGGCAGGACAGGCCACGAGCAACACAAGGTCTATGCTCCTCAGTACAAGCCACCCGACGAATTCAGAGCACAGGTGAGAGAAGGGGCCGGGTTCGGGCAGGCTGCAGACGGCTGGCGCTGCCCCGGCTCACACACATCGGAGAACCCCGCCCCGCCCCGCCCCCACATACCGGCATCTTCCCGCCGCCTCCTCGGGGCCTCCGAGCACGGACACAGTGCTCCCAGCACCAGGCCCGCACGCGGCCGCCGATCCCCGCGCAACGCCCCGTCCCTTAGCAGCGCCCTCCAGCTGCGCCACAGGACGGCCGGTGCGGGCGTAACGGCCGTTACGGCTATATGGGCCGAGCCCGCCCAGGCCTCCCGCCGCCGCCGCCTCAGTCCCTCAGGACTGCTGCCACCGCCCCTCAGCCCGCTGTCGTAAGAAGGGCGAGGTTACTTTTGCAGCCGCTCGTGCTTGACGGCTGCGTGTCGTCGCCACCCGACACAACTCTTCCACCATGTTGTGTGTGGCGCTACATCGCAACGGCCCCGCAGGACACAGCACGCGTGCGCACATCAGTGCCTCCCGGCCGGCTCGTGTCGGGCACGCGCAATCGAGGTACCTCCTGGCACGGACTTGGAGCATGCGCGCTAGGTGGAAGAGTGGGGCGCATGCGTAGGGCGGCCGGCGGGCTGACGAGAGCGAGCGGCGGGACAATTGAGCGCGACGAGCGCGGCTGCTGAGGTAAAGGTGGGGATAGCACGGCCTGACCCAAAATAATTCCTCACCGATAAGTTTCCTCTGTCAGGTGTCTTTTTGGGTATCTTTTGTGGCTCTGCTGTAAGCCAGACCTTAAGTAGTTATTTGACTTACAGCTGTGAGCAGCCTTGGGCAGCCTGGTCTGGTGGTTGGCGACCCTGCGCATAGCAGGGGGGTTGAAACCAGATGGTCATTGTGGTCCTGTTCAACACAGGCCGTCCTATGATGGTGAAGAGCCTTGGGCTGACAGCACTATGCGTAATACTGCTCTTTGTGCCTGTTCAGACTCCTACAGATATTGCCCATTCCAAGTGATTTCTGACCAACACCGATATATGCAGATCGGCACTAACGCTGCCTGCCTGCAGTTACTGCAGCAAAGCAGATCCCTGTTACACATCTGTCCTGAGTACAGTAAGCCTGGTCATACCTGCCAGGAATCTTTCTTCAGGTGTTGAGGAAAGTTAAATTTGGGCTAAAATGACTGATGTCACAGTCTCTGTTACGATTCAGTGCTGAGTTGAAAATGCCAAATTTATAAACAGATATATAAACAGGAAGGGAAACGGCTGTTTATGAGGGTGGACAGTGATAGTACAAGGGGGAATGGTTCTAAACTGAGATATGGGAGGTTTTGGTTAGATATTAGGAGGAAGTTTTTCACACAGAGAGTGGTGACACACTGGAACAGGTTGCCCAGGGAGGCTGTGGATGCCCCAACCCTGGAGGCATTCAAGGCCAGGCTGGATGTGGCTCTGGGCAGCCTGGTCTGGTGGTTGGCGACCCTGCATGTAGCAGGGGGTTGAAACTGGATGATAATTTTTGTCCTTTTCAACCAACGCCGTTCTATGATTCTGTGATTCTTTGATTTTGAAATACCTCTTGCATGCATGTTTTATTTTAATGCAGATGGTAAGATATTTTTAAGGAGAAACGTAACTGCTGAATTGAGTGCTTGCAGAAACAGGTGCAGTGATGAGACGTTGCAGGCTGTGGTTTCACGGGATGCTTACTCTGGTCTGGCCAGGTGGCTCACAAAGGCAGGAGCAGAGCTTTTCTCATTACTTCCTGCAGCTTCCCTGGAGCCATCCGTAATGGCATGGCAGCTGCAGGGTAGTGGTGGTTGTCTCTTTAGAAAGAGCATGTTTAATGTTTGGTGGAAGTAGTTGGAACGTGGAGGTATTCCTTGATGTAGCCATACCTACCTTGGTCCTACTTTATGGCTGATCCTTACCATAATGGTTTATGTCTAGTAACAGCATCATGTATGTGTCATCGTTCATAGTATACAGAAGACAACAGCACTGTCAGCGTCTGCATGTCTCAGATATAAAGGAGTACCATCAGCTGTATCTAATGTCTGCAAAGTGTTTCGGTAGTACTGTGTTGCTGGTTGTGTGTAAATCTTGGAAAGAAAGGTTGCTGTGCCATGGTACGCCACTGGAGTGCACAGCAGTGTAAAAATTGAAGTGCAGGAACTCAGTGCCTCTTGGAATGAGATGCAAATGTGCTTTCAGGGGGATAGAGGTATTTGTGTCTGCAATTGCTTTAATGGTGTGTTCTTACCTGATAATTAGAGGTGGGAGGGAATCAATTAAAATGATGTATGAATGCAGAATTAAACCAAAGTATGTTCCGTTAATTGCTGTTCCATTGTTTCTTTCATTTGAGCTTCTGGGTCACTCCATTGGATTTCTTTTTTGTTGTTGTTGTTGTTTCTACTAATTTAAGTATTAAGATTATAACATTTCATTGCAGTGGTTGCAAGCATCCTTTGCCATGTTAATTTTGGTGCGTGTTTAGTTTTGTCTGAGCTTGGCTAGAGGAATAATGGCCTTGCATTTTGAGGGAAAACCTACAGTACATTCCTTTCACTCTTCAGTTGAATGTAATATGGAGGGAGAATCTCAACTGAATTGTAATCTTTTATTGCGTGTCAGAATTACAAATATCACTGATGGTTTAATGCAAAATGTTACTCCCAGACAGGAACTGGAACTTCAGCATTCATTGTTTTACTAATATTAGGTTTTTTAAAATTATGTTTTAAGCATTTGGAGTAGTGGATTCTTTTATATCAATCGCTGTTAAGAACAATTTGAAAGTTTGATAAAAAGCCCTACATCGATCATCCCCAGAGCATATCTTGCTCTTGAGAACTGCATTACTTGCTCTCCAAATGAAAAAAGAAGCTGCAGAAATTGCAGTAGTCTTTCTTAGTACTTAAAATGTTGCAGTTCTTCTACTTTCTCGTAAGTTGTTATGCTTGTGAATAAAAAAAGCCATTTGAAAATATTTCACATAAGTTGCTGTGTTTGTTTGTTTGTTTTTTTAAAAGACTACTTGTATTTTTCATTATGGCTGTATTTCCACATCTGAAGCCTTTTCTGACGGTGTTTTTGTAACTTGCTTTCTTCCCTTCAGAGTGGTACAAACAAAATATGAGGCGATCAGCAGCTCCAAGTCAAGTGCTAGGAAATGTAGCCAAAAAGCCAAAGTTTATACCACCAGGAAAAAGTAATGCAATTTGTCCCAAGGTTGAAAATGAGGAAACGGACCAAGACATGAAATCAAAGGAGGTAAAAATGAAGAATGTGCTAAAAATTACATTTGTTTCTGCAGTATTGTTAATAAAAGGTAGTATCTGTGCTTACAGCATACAGTCCCAGTTAAGATCATCAGTACTTTTAGGCTTTGATAACTTTGCTCTTACTAAATTTGATCTTGCATCTTGGGTAGGTTTTTTTTTCACTCTGTGAAGTGCACACAGGAAAATATTTTTGAAATGAATAATGGGAATCAGTACTGAGCCCAAATTCTTAATGCAGCTGAGGTGTATTGGCCTGGACTTTGTTGAGTTCAGTGGTTTGTGATGCTTTGGCAAAAGCAAATTCGAAAACAAGGCATTTAATAATTAAATGCCAATACATTCAGTCACAGTTTTGCTGTAAGAAACTTTCTCTGAAATCTATAGTATTGACCAAAAAAAGCTCCAGAATTTTTATTAATTTTATCTTTGGAAACTTTTATTAAATGCAGCTCAAAATCTATCTGCATGGATGGTGTTTGGTTTTGTGATCATGCACTTAATGTTCTGAAAATGAGAGTGTATATATTTGTGTGGGAATGTATATATCAGCATAGATAGACACATAATCCTCATTATCAAACTACTGAAATCTCTTCTTGTTGCTCTCTTTTCTATTTCATTTCAACTGCCTGAAGGAAATGCTATCCTGAAATTCTTTCTCTTTTGCAGATAGGTGAAAAACATGGAAGTGTTTCACTGTTTTCTGAAATGTTCAGCGAGAATCAGAATGAAAATTTTACACAGTCTGTTGAGTCATCTGGAAAAGTAAAGTCTGCAAAAGCATGGAACAGCACTAGTAAGTGCAGCAAGTTGGAAATGAAAACACACAGTGCACCCAAAGCTGGTAAGATGCACTTTCCTACTTAGTGCTGTGTGTTGTGTGAGAATTTAAAAGCTCGTGTCTGGTATGCTGCTTTCTAGACTTTTATGAAATACTTGTGTCTTGTGCAATGGGAGCATTATTTGTTGTTCTGCTGGGCAGAGTGTAACTGCAACAAGCATTAAGCAATTCTCTTAAATGAAGAAGGAAAAAAAGCTGATATTTTACAAGCCAATTAATTGCTAGTGCTGCTATTCAGGTATGTCTTCTATAAGCGTACTTATAGTCAAGTTGCTCTAACTGAGAGTAATATCATAAAAAGAGTTGGGATTCCCTAATTTTTAGAAGAATATCGCAGTCTGGATATTTTGTTGGCCTCATGCAGAGAATACAAATGATACTGAATGGATTCACGCTTTTCAGAATCCATGAGGGCTTCTTCAGTGTAAGATCTGATCTGATGACAGTGTCTCTGGTGGCCGTTCAGGTTCAAGCATGTGTTATTAACTCATGTAACTAGGACAGGCTGTGCTCACTCGTGTACCATTCATTAATTTTTTAACCCTGGTAATGAATGTTCCTCTCAAAAGCTAGGTAGTAAGCACTGCAAAGTTGGTGAAGTGTCTGAAATGTAAAAATGCACTTTGATGGACTTGGTTAACTCCATGGAATTGAATATATTCTTTTTCTGCTCTTCATGTGCCATGATCACAGATGTGCATGAATGCGGGTGTGCTGGCTCTGCTGCCAAATGCATATGAGAAGCATTTCACTTTACCTGAAGTACTTGCCTTGATGGATAAAAATCATTCCCCTTGGAGCCAACTCATGCATCTTAACATCTATCTTGCTGTTAATTCACTGTTTTCTCTTCATAATTAATTACTTTGATAATTACGATAGTTCTACACAATCCTTTCCCTCCCTCCCTTGAACTGCCCTCTGTCTCCCTGGGCATGTGAACCACAAAGGCCTCAGTCATGTTGCTGGCTCTCAGACCTGCACTCATGTAAATTACACACTACAGATCCCTCCAGTACATGGCCTTAGACACCTGGCTGCTGTATCTCCTGGTCTGCCAGCTACCTTGTTCACAACAGATGCATACAAATCAACATGACACTCTGCTACCTAGTCCAAACTTAGCAGTGGCTGGCCAACCAGTAGTCACTCCCCTCAGATATCCTGCTCTTTCCAGGAAAGCCATTTGTACTTTCTGGTCCGTCCAGTAGCCACCTTGCAGACCCTCTGGTCTCTGCATAATCTGGCCCAGATTCATGGCTGCTCCAAAACCTGACACCCAAACCTCATCTCCTATTTGTCAGCTAGTCCCGTTTGATGTTTGCTAGTGATCACACACTGGCATAACCA